CCAACCAACTGAGCCGCCCAGGCGCCCCAAATTTTACATTTTAAAATTATATTCTGTGGTATTGATCTTGTATGAGTATGTGGGTGATTTTCCTCCTCGTTTTAAGGCGCAGCTGTGGGGAGGCTGGCCCAGCACCTGACACCTAGCTCTTTGCCCTGACTGTGTGTCCCCAGGTGGACCACGCGGCAGCTGTGAAGGAATACAGCCGCTCTTCTGCTGATCAGGAAGAGCCCCTCCCGCATGAGCTGCGGCCCTCGGCAGTGCTCAGCAGGACCATGGACTACTTGGTGACTCAGATCATGGACCAGAAGGAGGGCAGCCTGCGGGACTGGTATGACTTCGTGTGGAACCGCACACGGGGCATACGGAAGGTATCAGCCGCTTCTAATCAGAAAATTAGAAAATGCATGTGAATTCCAAAGTTGAAGCAAGATTTCTTTTCATTTTACTCAGTTATATTTCATCTGTGTAAAAAAAAATGCTGTTATTTAAAATCATTACAAAGTCCTGTTAAAATGTGCTTCATGGGCTTTGTTTGAAATTGACATATGAGAAATTCAGGTAATCACGATTCTTCTAATCGTTTGTTCCCAATGCATGGAAATACATGTGTGTAATCTGTGTGTATACAAGACACATATGTATGTAAGGGGTGTGTGTGTGTGTAATACTCCCTCTTGCTTGTGGCCAGGACATCACACAGCAGCACTTGTGTGACCCTGTGACGGTGTCCCTGATTGAGAAGTGTACCCGGTTCCATATCCATTGTGCCCACTTCATGTGTGAGGAGCCCATGTCCTCCTTTGATGCCAAGATCAATAATGAGAACATGACCAAGTGCCTTCAAAGTCTGAAGGAGATGTACCAGGACCTGAGAAACAAGGGTGTGTCCTGTGCCAGCGAAGCTGAGTTCCAGGGCTACAACGTTCTGCTCAATCTCAACAAGGGGGACATCCTAAGGTAAACTTTCAAATTTGGAAGCTAGCCTAAGCTATATAAAAAGGCAGGGTTTTGTTTTGTTTTTTTTTTAAAGACTTTATTTATATTTTTTAAGATTTTATTTATTTATTAGAGAGAGAGTGTATGCATGAGGGGCAGAAGGAGAGGGAGAAGCAGGGAGCCAGATGCGGGGCTCTCTTCTAGGACCTTGAGATCACAGCCTGAGCCAAAGGCAGCCGCTTAACCTACTGAGCCACCCAGGTGCCCCCCCCCCTTTTTTTTAAGATTTTATTTATTTATTTAGAGAAAGCATGCAAGCGGGGGGAGGGGCAGAGGGGGAGAGAGAATCTCCAGCAGACTCCCCACTGAGCGGGGAGCCCAAATGGGGCTTGATCTCATGACCCTGAGATCACGGACGACCTGAGCTGAAACCAAGAGTCAGGTGCTTACCGACTGAGCTACCTAGGAGCCCCGATAGGTATCTCTCTTTTTTTTTTTTTTTAATAGGCTCCACTCTTTCCGATAGGTATCTCTCTTGAGTGATTCAGTCAACTCTGTTTATTTACAAAGGAAGACAAAGTTAAATTTTGTTTTTTAGATGTCATCATTATCAAAAACAGCTGGCAGTCATTTGGCATTAAAGTAATTCTTTGATAATCAATTCTTAAATTGATTTTTGCTTGAATTTGTTTATTTACCATCTTTTTAGAGAGCACCATTGTTCCCAATCCAGCTCAAGAGCAGCAGCTTTGAAGTTAGTAAACTGAATAGAATGGCAGATGTCACCATTAAGTCCCTCTTTCTCAGTATGGTTAAAATTTAGTTTTGTTTTTTTTTTAAATTACATCTATTTTCATGGACATTTTGTCTAATTAAAAATAAAATTGGGGGTGCCTGGGTGGCTCAGTCAGTTAAGCATCCAACTCTTGATCTCAGCTTAGGTCTTGATCTCAGGGTTGTGAGTTCAAGCCCCCTGTTGGGCTCTGTGCTGGGCCTGGAGCCTACTTAAAAAAAAAAGGAAAAGAAAAAAAATAAATAAAATTCTAACCCCTTTGTCTCCTTTAATTAACAGAGAAGTACAACAGTTCCATCCTGCTGTTAGAAATTCCTCTGAAGTGAAATTTGCTGTTCAGGCCTTTGCTGCATTGAACAGTAATAATTTTGTGAGATTTTTCAAACTGGTCCAGTCGGCTTCTTATCTGAATGCTTGTCTTTTACACTGTTACTTTAATCAGGTGAGTAATGTAGCTATACTTGAAGAATTGGAAGAAACCAGATCGTTACTTTTGGCGTTTAAGTGCTTCTCTATTCCGAGAACATTTTAGCGGATCCAGGCTAACTCTCATGTAAGCATTGCAGCCACCCCCAGAGGATGTTGCCGCATTACCTTGTGTCACAGAGGCTGGCGCCGTGGACCGCTGGTGGAAAAAGCTGTATGATAGAAAATACTATTATTAAGTTTAGATCAGAGAAATCTCTTTAGAATGATATGACTTGAGTTCAGCACTATCATTTTCCTTGGAAACAAACCAAAAATCAAAAATTGCACATGCAAAGTCCCTGACTTAAAAATTCTTAAGTGTTATTAATCTGAATTTTTGGAGTGAACCTGATGATGCTGAATCCATTTCAATACTTATCTTAAGGGCCTGCTCCTTGTTGAGTACTGTGCTGTGCCTTGGGGTTGCAAACCTGGGGAAGACCCATGTCTTACCTGGTGCTTTACGTAGGGTATGAATGCCTGGTCTCAAAATTCCCCAAGTCAGGTCTTCAGCCCTAGCCCCCTGACAGTGCATGCACTGTGCTGCCTCCCAGCTGCAAGGGGTCCTCTGGGTGGGGAGGAGGCTGCCGGGGTGGGGGTGTGTGTGTGGGGGGGCTCTTAGGACTTGGTCAGCTGGCTCTATGACTCCAGGTTGTTTTTCTTCTTTGGTCACACATCAAGTCCTTTGGTAAACGGTGACTAAGCCCACGGTCATAGCCCAGGCGGAGGGTCTTCTTCAGGTGTGTTCATTGTCCTGTCTTATAATTGCCAATAGCACTGAAATTCTGGAACAAATGAAAAGATTTTTAACAACATGCCATTTGGGGAACTCTGTACATTCAATACATAAAACTGATAGCTACTGTTTTCAGAATGATTATGTAATGTTCTTAGAATATTGGCCATTTGTGCCCGTTTTAATAACTTGAAACAAAAAAGACATCTAAGTACTTTAGAGAAACGCAGTGTTTGACCTGGTCCCATAGGCTCCCTTGCTCAGCTCCACCTGCTGTGATGCTTCCTGTCCCTCCAACTCCAGCCCACTACTGCCTCAGGGCCTTTGCACTTGCTGTTCTCACTGCTGTTCTTTCTCCTCACAGAGCCATATGGTGCTCACCTTCTTCAGGTCTTGGCTCGGCTGCTATCTTCTCAGCAGAGCCCACCCTGCCTGCCTGCCCTCCTCCTCTGCCTTCCTCTGGTGCACTGTCACCGTTAAATGTACTGTGTATGTCACGGGTTCAGTTTGTTTGTTGTTGGTCTCTCCCTAACACATCAGTTCTGGGGGCAGGGATTTTGCTTTGTTCATTGTTGCGTGCTGCACGTTAACAATGCCAGATAAGAAATAAATACTTGATAAACACTGTTGGAATTGAAGAACACTGCAAGAGGAAGCAAGGGTCACTCAGAGTCCTAGACCCACATACAAGTTTTGTTAACATTTTCCTGTTTTTCCTGTCTTCTTTTTTTAAAGTACTTCTTACGAATTCCATGCCATTTCTGCATTTTTCCATGGCACTCTATCATCTCTGTGATAATTTTTAGTGCCACAGAGCTTTTTGTCAAGTGGATAGTGCACAGTTGACCTTCCACATGCTCTGCTGATGGATGACTTGTCTTCTAGGGTTTCTTGTGTGGGTGTGTGTGTTTTAGATTTTATTTGTCAGAGAGAGCGCGTGTGCACACACAAGCTGGGGAAGTGGCAGGCAGAGGGAGAAGCAGGCTCCCTGCTGAGCAAGGAGCCTGATGTGGGGCTCGATCCCAGGTCCCCGTGATCATGACCTGAGCCGAACGCAGACACTTAACCGACTGAGCCACCCAGGCGTCCCTAACCATTCCTGTGTATGAGACTGTTTCACATGCATTTCTGGGCATCTTCTGCTGAGCAAATCCCCTGGTGATTGCTAAGCTTGGGCCTCTTAGTACCAGATTGCTTTCCAGAGGGACTGAGCAGTAGCAGGACCCTGTCTCCCACGGTAGCATTTTGTGGTCACGGAATGACTGGCTCCTTAACACTGCAGTGATTTTGCTTCTCTCTTCAGATCCGCAAAGATGCTCTCCGAGCGCTCAACATCGCGTACACTGTGAGCACGCAACGCTCCACTGTCTTTCCCTTGGATGGCGTGGTGCGCATGCTGCTCTTCAGAGACTGTGACGAGGCCACAGACTTCCTGAACTACTATGGTCTGACTGTCTCTGATGGGTAAGAGCAGAGGGTGGCTGCGGGACCTCTCTTTTTTTTTCTCTTTTAGTTCTGATAAAGGGCTGGGAAGTGCAGCTACGTGCCAGGCCCCAGAGAGGGCCCATTCTGCATGCTGCCTCCCTGGGGTGCAGGTGAACACAGCGAGGCTCAGAATGGGCTGGGGAGCATCCCCAGATCAGACACTGCTTGTTAGCGGATTGGTGTTCAGACCTATTTCTTTGCAATTTTAAAATCAGTGCTTTTCATAAGATACTGAAGAAATTAAAGGTAAAGGTTAGGGTCTTCCTTATTCTTTCTCTCGAGGATGACTTCTGCTGGCCAGTGACTACCACTGCCGACCTGTGGTGGCCCAGACAGGCACTAGTGGGCCAGGCCAGGGGCTTCTGTGCTGCTTGGAGTCAGTGTTTTGTTTGTTTGTTTTTTTTTTTTTAAAGATTTTATTTATTTATTTGACAGAGAGAGACATAGCGAGAGAGGGAACACAAACAGGGGGAGTGGGGGAGGGGAGAAGAAGCAGGCTTCCCGCTGAGCAGGGAGCTCGATGCGGGGCTCGATCCCAGGACCCTGGGACCATAACCTGAGCCGAAGGCAGACGCTTAACGACTGAGCCACCCAGGCGCTCCTGGAGTCAGTGTTTTAAGAACCTGATGAAACTCGTGGACCCTCTCCTTGTAAATGGCAGCATAACGTGCACCATGTCTTGTTCCAAGTTGCTGTTTCTCTAGCCCTTCCCTCCTCTTCACTCCTCATTGCCAGCCCCTTCCTGTCTGCTTCCTGCAGGCCTGTCCTCACAGAAACATGCGGCTTTGGAATAAGACAGGAGCATGCAGGTGTGTGCTGTTCCACGTAGGGCTGCGTACAAGTGGGCCAGGAGACTCCCATGTCACAGGGCAACGTCCAGGCTGGCAGCTGTGGGTACTGTGGGCTGGGACACCAGATCAGCCTTTACTGCCTCCCTCTTCACTTACACGTGGTTGTGGGGTGACCCAGTGATGGGGACAGGGCTTCCAGCATTGCTGCTGGGCGCTGAGAGGTGACGATTGGCTTCTCACCGATGTAACGCTTCTCTGGGTTCTCTGTGGTCTGGGTAGCTGTGTTGAGCTGAACCGGTCCTCGTTCCTGGAACCAGAGGGCTTATCCAAGGCCAGGAAGTCGGTGTTCATTACCAGGAAGATGACCGTGTCGGTTGGGGAGATTGTGAGTGGAGGGCCATTGCCCCCCATCCCTCGTCACACTCCCGTGTGCAGCTTCAACTCCCAGAACAAGTACATTGGGGAGAGCCTGGCTGCAGAGCTGCCTGTGGGCACCCAGAGACCCAGCTCGGACGCAGTAGGTGAGAAGCTGCAGTTGCATGAGGGAAGTAGCATTGCCCCTCCAGGAAGCCTCTCTGGAGGTAGGAGCATCTGTTTTATTTTGTGGGTGGGGGTGGGGCGGGTGGTATTGGCTCAGTGCTCAGATACTTCTCCCCTCTCAAGAATGGCCTGAATGGCTCTTTGATGTCACGGTGCTTGGTTCCCACTGATGAAGCTCACACTGTCCCCTGTGACATTGCTCGGGAGGGTAGCCAGCCCTTAGGGTCACTGTGGGTGCCCAGGGGTTGTCTTAAGTGCCTGCACTTGCCTGTTCCCTTCCAGGTGGGGGGAAAGGAGAGGCGTGTGGGGCAGAGGCAGATGTACCGCCGCCCGCTCTCCTCCAGCAGCCTCTTCCCACCCCTGCGCCCACACCAGCTTCTCTGCCTCACCTCCCAGCACCGACCCCGAGCACAGCGCCTAGCCTCTTCCAGCCCCCTGTGCAGCCCCCCCTCCAGCCCCCTGTGCAGCCCGAATTGCTTCCTCCAAGGCCTGTACCTTCGTACTCGGATGCGGTAAGGAATGTTCGGGTTAGGGCGCTGAGGAGCCCGTGGTACAAGTGTCACCATGGTGTCTGATACTGTAGATCGAACCCACAGAGGTGGTCGCCTGTGGCTCTAAAATATTCTGAGTGCCAGCTGGGGCGGGTCTCAGGGCCCTGGCCGTGGAGGCTTAAGCCTTGGTCTTTCTGACAAGGTGCCTGGGGCTCCGAGCTTAGGGCTGCACCAGGCCACCTAGCTTGTTGCCTGTGTCTGCTTGAAGGGCCACAGCTCAGATATTGGAGAAGGCGTGGCAGGGTTTTTGTGGCCATAACGTGAGGGCTGAACGAAGTCCTGTCTTGCACTGAGGGCTCTGCAGACAGGTGGGTCTCTGTGGACCAGCCTCTGCCCTATGGAGTGGACTGTGTTGCCTGGTCTCCCACGAGGGGTCCAGGGAGAGGCCCTGCCTGCAGCCCCTCAGCTGCGGGTGGCAGAGCTGGGGCTGACCCCGCAGGCTCGGTGCAGAGCCCCCATCTTTGTCACGGTCGTCAGAACAGCACTTCATTGCTTCCTGTCCCAGTGCCGTCTTGCACCCCTGACGTGTCTGCTGAGCGATGTTCAACACTGCTCACTTGAGAGAGCCAGTGGACGTGTTGACTGGGGACCTGTGGGGCCCCAGGCAGCACTGTGTGCTCGCCGATGGGGTTGAACAAGGCCTGTCTACCATATAGGTTGTGGGATCAGGCTCGCCAACCCTGTTGCTTGGGCCGGTGCTGGGGTGTTAAGGAGGCCTGAGAGGATCGTGAGAATGGTTAGAGAAGCTGACTGTGTTGGATGTGGTGTGGCGGGGGGGGCGGCGTGGGAGGGTGTTGAGCAGGCAGCAGGCTTGCCCTGTCCTTTGATGAAGGCTTCTCTCCGTTCATTAGCAGGAAACCTTTCCAGAAGCAGCATAGCTGATTCCCAGATTCCCTCAGACAAGTGTCCACTGATGAGGTTGTGAAAGGATGTTTTTGCCCTGGGGCGGGGGGATGCTCCGTGAGACCATCTCCAAAGTTCTAACCCTCTGTGAAGGTTTTCAGTACCCTTAGGCTGTAGGGCTAGATTGTTTGGTTTTAAGCTCAGTCTGGATTGAGGCAGTGTTTCTCACTGCCGGCACTCTGACCCCGATCTGTCCTCTCCTTAGGACCTGGCTCAAGTAGTGGATGAGCTCATCCAGGAGGTTCTTCAGAGGGACTGTGAGGAGGTTGGTGCCGCTGGGGCGGCCTTCGCAAACACAGCTCTGGGGTAAGTGCAGTGCCCCACCTGCTCTGAAGCTGTTTGCTCCCTGGGGCCGTTCCCCATCCCTCCGTGTTTCTTCTTATAGAGCTGCTCTCAGTCTTGGACAGGAGGTTGCAGCTGCCCATTTGTAAAGGCTTAACTGTTGGTCCTGTCCTCTAGGTGGGTATGATTGTGTCGTGTTCCTGACCTTCTCTTTGTCATTGGCATGAAGTTTCTGTTTGTGTGTGCTTTTTGAGCAATGTTAGGTTTATTAAAGTTGTAAATTAAAAACATGTTTTTCCTGGAACTTTGAACATGCCTTTAAAATACAGTAGAGTATAAAAATTTGTTTATTCTCTATTAAAAATTAAAAACACTTTATGTGATCTTGGATTAAATTTTACTTTATAAATTTAACAGATTAAATCCCTTTAAACATTTTACATGATTTGCATTTTATACCATGATGAAATTTCTTTAGAGATTTCCAACTAGTTATAAATTTCATATATCTAATTCTAATATTTTAAATAGTCTTAATAAATTTAATAATCAAAATTTTTCTAAGACTTAAACAACTTAAAGTTAATTAAAGCTAATCGATTTAGTAAATCAGATTATTTTAAGGATTTCAAACATGTTTTAAAAATCCTATTACACATGAAATCACACAATGATTAAAAAGTATAATTTCACCTAGTATAAATGTAGATGACTCTAAAGTCATCTTTTTATTAAAAAGTTAATCTTTGGGCACCTGGGTGGCTCAGTCGTTAAGCGTCTGCCTTCGGCTCAGGTGATGATCCCAGGGTCCTGGGATCGAGCCCCGCATCGGGCTCCCT